AAAAATTCTCTTACTCGGGTCTCGTTGGTGTTTACCTGTTTTCTATAAAAAAAAAAAAAAAAAACAAAATTAATATGCGTTTGCACGGAAAAAATTCTCGAAAGAGAAATCCAATTGGTAAAGAAAAACATTCGTTGGTTAATAATATAAATAATATGAATATAGAAAAAATGATTGCGCAATAATTTAATATAAAAGTTTATATATTCTTGAACGGATCGTGAAGATATATATCTTATAAATCTATATAATGCTAATTTCGTGGTAGGATGTGAAACAAGTTAAAGCCATTGAGAATGACCAACGAACAAACGGTTGCAGCTTGTGCCAAAGTCCGACATCTTGCTGTAATGGCATTTCCTACGTGGTACTTCGAAAGTGCTGTACACGCAGGATATCCTTCCTTGTTGAAGTTGGCAACTATGCTTTAGCTTTTCCTATTATCTTTGGAATTTCCAACCCTAACAGGACTTCGATATCACCGGTAACAACCCAATCTCAAAATCGGTGTCGATGTCTCGTCGGCTGTTATCATATCACGAGTAGAAAAATGTTCTTACTAAGAAAAATTTATGAAAAATATAAAAGAAGCAAAAGCTACGAATAAATAATAATTAAAAAAGAAGAGGAAATAATGCATATATATATTTGAATTAATATATATTGAATATAGTTTGAATTAATTCATAAAATTTACTATATCAAAAAACCCCTTTAGAATTATTTCACATGAAAATGAATCATTTAACGAATTAACTGAATCATATGATTTTAATACAGGACATATATAGATACATATACGTAATATATACTGTTCTCTTAATATTATACAATACGTGTATATCTATATATATAGAGAGAGAGAAAACTAAAGACGTTTAGAATCATAATACTTTAATTGCAACTTATTGTAGCGTAAAAACGGCTTGGCCCTCATCGCGACGGTATTTCGCGCCTAATATAAAAGCAGTTTGCATTACCGTCGCACAGCAGTTTAAGGCCGGGCTTTGAACCACTGCCAGGGATTTCAATCGAGCTTGCAACCGGCGGGAGCTTTTCCTTGAGACCGTTTAAGGCCAATATAATACTACACCTACCCATATATATATATATATATATATATATATAGAATCGTAGACTACCGAGTGTTCCTCTCTTTCATCCTCCTGCTGCTTTCTTGGTGGCCCATCAAACATGATTCTCCACAATAAGGAATAGTAGCCCGCTTTGAACTTTAATTTCATTCCCTTCGGGAGACTCTTCTGCTATTCTAGTATCCCGTGAGAGAGAATACACCAATAATAATTTCTTAAAGCCATATTATTTCCTATATTCTCAACATCGATTTTATATATCTGTAATATTAGTATTATGGTTCCTATCAAAGTTGCTCGATACGATACAACCATCATCTCTTTTCATTTCTTCCACTCAAATAATAAAAAAAATAATAATAATCTAGGTTACATTCGAATAGGGGGAATATAAGAAAAATTCAATTTATTTTTTTACTCAATTATTCTATAATATATTATCTTTATCAAACCCACGCAAGAAATGTCAAATCTGATTAATAATAATCAAAGTTCTTACGATCCAAAAACCCATCCCTTCTATTATTATTAAATATTTTCAATATTATATTAAACGAATTTATTTTCGTTTTTTTTCAAAATTTGTAAAAAAAAACTACATACATAGAAGTATCTTAAAAATTGTATACAATTCGTACGCGTTTGTTGAAAATTTCGATATACTATTTGAAATGAATTATTGCGTAAAGCCGATAATGAAGTGTGACCTCCTTGAAATGCAACATAGATAGGGAGAGTCATATCGGTTCTCTCCCATCCGTGCAGCTTTGTCAAAATCATTGACAAATCGCTTTATACCGTGCACCATATCACTATCGGACGTACTTACGCTACACATCCGCGATCGTTTCGAGAATGATTTATCGTCTTCCGAAATATTTCGTTCTTTCACTAGGCAATTTCCCTGTTACATCGTAAATCATCATTTTCGTTCGACTTCAAGACGAATCCACCCCACCCCCCTCCCTTTCATATACGACATTAAACTGTATTTTAAATGAAAAAAAGAAAAGTAACAAAACAATATATACATACACAATAGGCTCTCGTCGTTAATTGGTTATATTTTTTGTATGTAAAATTGTAATGATTATTCATCCCCTCTAAATAGATATTATATTCAAATTCACCTCTCATTATCATAATATTAAATCAAATCCTCTCCCCTAAAAAACAATTACTTCATATCGGTAAACATCGATGATCGATGAACTAAACAAATTGAATTCGTGCACATATTTTTTTACGCGTATTTAAAAGGTATTTTGTGTTTGTCGAATAAAATTTCACAAATTTTTTCATAAATATATATATATTCCCTGCTTTTAAATTCCAGATTACTTTTAACGATACAATGGAATAATCACATTTGACGTGAATTTAATACGATCTTTAATTCATAAATCATCAATGTCCAATAATATGAAATATTGTATTATCTATCTAAAATTATTCTCCATATAATTTTTATTACGAATATATATACAAGATTTTTCTCAACAATGTATCAAACATATTTCTCTATTGTTTTCTTTACTTTAGAAATTGATATCTAATATGTACCTAATGTACGATACAATACATTACCATAATAATGATAAAAAAAAAAAAAGCGTAAAATAAAAAATACAAAACCGAGGGAAAGTTTTACACAGAGAGAGAGAGAAAAAAAAGAAAAAAAAAAACTTGTTTCGCTTTTTATCGCGATAGGACTAAAACGTCAATCGATACTCGAACATTCGGATAAACTCGACACTACAATTTGCTGTTTCCTTAATACGCCTCGGTAGTAGGACGTATTGGATTTATCCGGAACGTGCGGCTTTGTCACAAGCGATGACAAATCGGCTTATGTCACTGTGCTATCGGTTCTGGACCAAATCGTTCTCTACATCTATTTCATCTCGCGAAGCTTTATTTTATCGGTAGGTCATTTATTTCCTTTTAAAGTCGGACTCCACACTGACGTATATGTAATATTACTTACATACCTGCATGGTAAAAATCAAATATCACGACCGTTGTTGTATGCGAAACGTGTTCGGTATGACAAATAAAAAATAAAACAAAACAAACAAACAATTGCATAACGGCTAAACAAAACGTAGATTATTTTACGATAACTATTTACAAACTCTAGTCGTAGTAGAAAAAAAATCATTTTCTTAACGAATGACACAAAATTAACAATTAATTCGTATTTTTTTATACTAAGCAACAATACTTTTGCAACACGACGACGTCCAGTCTACAAATGGAACTTGTTAATTAATATTTTTTCACGACGTGTTTTCAAATCGATTTGTAATTTATTAAAAAACAAATAAGTAAATAAGTAAATAAAAGAAAATGAAGATGGAAACACGGTTTGCGAGAACGCTTGCAGAAAATCGTCATTCGGTGAGACAAGCTCAGACCCCTTAACGGTTAAACTTTTGCGATGATAGTGTAATCTCGTCTTCTCTTTCTCTATCTATCTCTCATTCTCACTCTCTCTCTCTCTCTCTCTCTCTCTCTCTCTCTCTCTCTCTCTCTTTCTCTCCCTTTCTCTTTCTTTCTTTCAAGAAACTTTAAGCTCTCTAGCATAGGAACTTTCAGAAAGTTAAATCGTCGTTTTTCTTTCGCGAAGCATCATGCAAAAGAGAAGAGAAGAGAAGAGAAGAGAAAAGAAGAGAAGAGAAGTAAGACGATAGAGTGAAAGACAGATAGTGTGAGAGATAGGGGTGAGGGGTAGGTAAAGGGGGGAGAAAGGGAAAGAGAATCTTCGAACACAGACGTATGTTTGAAGCTTTCAAAAGTGCATGGAAACTAAAGCAGGAGAGCTTCTGATGAGGTTGTGTGAAATTTTCGAGGTTTCAAAAGGAAATTTCGTTATAAGATCCCAAGAAGTGCTTAGGGTCCTCCTTTCCTATCATCCATCTTCTCTCTTAACTATTCGTTAGAAAGTGTCAGTTGATGTCTGTCTATTTAAATAGAACTTCTTCAACATTCATTCTCAAAATTTCTATCTTCTCAAACTCTTGGCGCCATACTACCTTTCGCGGATTCACATTTAATTCTAACACACATGTGACGTCGTACTTGTTACAAAATTAAAGAGGAATTTTAATCACGATTTAATGTATTACAGACCTCTCTCTCTCTCTCTCTGTGTGTGTCACTCTTATTTCTATATAATATTATTAAAATGCTTATAGTTAATTATATTTGACAAATGAATAATTCATATGTAAATCAATCAACTTTAATTACTTTGTTTAACATTTTACTTTATCATCAAAAGTAACAAACTGTAACAGACTTATATTAAAGACCGATCGCTCTTTGTTGTTCAGTGTGTTGGTAGGGTTCATTGTTTAGTATGCGTCCATCGTGTCAGTGTGTATGTGTGTAAACGATAAGAGAACGAGAGAGAGAGAGAGTTTCAATTTGAGAGTACTTGAATGACGCAAGGCTTGTTTAGGTAAAAGACAAACAAACGGTTCCTGATGGTTTCTCTTTATCAGACGATCTTGGGTCAGAAATGAATAAAGATCGAACCTACTGAAGAGAGGGAAACAGAATGATAGTATGAAGAAAGGAAAAAGGAACGAGAAGATGATGAACGTTTGAAAGAGAAAGAAATAATGCATTCGCTTATGCACCGAGCCAAATAAATGGAATGATTACACTTTAGAACTTTGATTAATTAATTGTATCTTTAAGTAACACCTTTCTTACGAAATTTATTAGAAATTTGTAATAAAATGAAATCACATTGGGTTTTATAACATTAATTCGTTTCGTTTAGAAAACCCATTCATTTATAATACAAACAAAATGAACAAATATTTTTCGCGATTCACTATTTAAATAAAAATGCAACAACTTATATAAAAAGAATATTTCGTTTGTTTCTTTGTGAAGGTTGCATGGCTGCACGTCGGTAGGCAAATGCTATTGACGGTACACAAACACATGGTCGTCAAAATACCAAGGTTCACGGTGTCGCACGAAAATCAAAATACGTGGCTATTGCACATCAGCGGAGTTCAACAGGACGACAGAGGATACTACATGTGCCAAGTTAACACTAATCCTATGATGAGTCAAGTAGGATTTTTACAAGTCGTTGGTAAGTCTTTAATAATGTATATTACATAATGGGTGTCTCTGAAAAATGAATATACAAAAATGTTTCATTGAATAATTATAAATATTTACAAATTTGTACAAGTAATACGAGTATGATCATTTCGGACAACCCATTTTTATCATCGATTAAATATTTAAACACACAAATACAATCGAATAATTCTTTAACTTTAAATATCACGTATTATTTCAGTACCACCAAACATATTAGACTCGTTATCGACAGAGAGTACAGTGGCTGTACGAGAAAATCAAAATATCACATTGACGTGTAAAGCTGACGGATATCCGATGCCAAAATTAATGTGGAAACGAGAAGACGGTCAAGGAATAACCATCAGTCGTCAAAAAAAAGGTTGGTCAATGTTTCAACGTGTGTATATATATATATGCAATAAGAATGTAAAAGTGAATATTTCTTTTCGTGGAATTTCTTAGAAGAGTTTATCTCAGTCAAAGGAATTGAAAGCTTAAAACACTTTAAAGGTGGAAAGAAGAGAAAAGAATAATAAGAGAAAAGAGAAAAGAGAGAAAAAGGAGCGTATTTGTAGCGCAGTCAAAGCGTAACATTGCAAGTAATTCTCATGACTATGTTTTGCTCGGGCTGTGTAGGTCTCTCATTTTAAAGCCTGGCGAAATCCCACGAGCCTGAAGCTCGTTCGGTAAATCGAAGGAACTATAGTATAGTCCCGAGGAAATGCAAGTAGAATTCCGCTTGCTCTTAGCTATAATACACTGCTCGAACAACCAGCGTAAAGCTTCAAATCGAGTTGAGTAAAAGTAAACTATTACTTTTCATAGTTTTTCAACGAACGAACGAACGAATCAACGATAAATCTACCAACTCTTCTTTACGGATACTTATTTGTACCATTTGCCAATTCAATTGCCGATCTTTAACAACAAAACTACAATTCATTTCTCTCTTGTTTTTACTTTTTATTATTATTAACATTAAAACTAACGTCAATTATTGTATACTTATTTTTATCAGATAGATCGATATACTCGATGCATAAAATGCCAAAAAATATTATCAAAGAAAATAAATCAGATATATTAAATTTCGATATCGTATTTGTTAGAATAAAAATTCATCTCATTATAAATATTGAATCTTTAACAAATATACATTTTTCTTTGTGTAGATAAAAGAAAATAAATTAATATATAAAAAAGAAGAAGAAGATACTTTCCATTTTTTTTATCATATAATAATTAATAATGTATATATTATGAACTAATCTCTATTACATCAAATGACAGAAGTTAACTATAGAAATAAAATAAATTATCTTTATCCTTCGTTATTAGTAACACAATTAATTGTTCCCTGTGATGCCTTGGATCGTGCTTGTCTTACTACCTAAAAACATCTTACATTTTTTTCTTTAGTAAGTAGAAAAATAGGGAGTGGAAAGTAGGAGAAAATGGGTTGGTCTAGAGGGAGATAGAGAGTAGGTCGGGCTGATGCAAACAGGGGATTAACCGGAGGGATTTATGCCAGGGAGGAAGCTATCTACGTAAAACTCGACCCGAAAGGTTTTTTGCTTGGTATGCTCCTTAAATATTGTAGAGATTAATCAACTCTCGTGACCCCCTCGCCTTCGTCAGGATATGCTAGCCGCGGTACTTTTCGACGGTGTCAATGTACCCTTTCCCCCTTCCCCCCCCCCATCCAGTCCACCACACCAAAAAGAATAAGAAAATGTATTCAAGAAAAATGGATGATGAAAATTCTATGAACTAAGGAACTACTATCTTATATACCATGCCAATATTCTGAAGTTAATCGAACGACCAATCAAACTCCCTTGATTTTCTCTCATCGCTTAGATTAGAATTATATTAGAGAGAGAGAGAGAGAGAGAGAGAGAGAGAGAAAGAGATTCTCTAGGGAATCAAGGCTACCGTCGACGTATTTGAGATGTGACATTCACACAGTAACGTTAGCTAGTGAGTTATCTAGAGAACTAACCACGAGGTTAGGGTCAGGACTCAGGAAGCACTTGTGGTTCCGTTCCACAGACCAAAACGTTCCTCTTGATATCGCTGAGGAACTGACCTGTATTCCATGCCTATATCTATAAATATATATATATATATAGATATATATATATGTAGGTAGAAGGAGAAGGAAATTATACTGCAACCTAAACTACAAGCCTCAAAATAAGACAACAATTTGTTAAACACAAATAACAGATTTATTTAATCTATTAAATATTTTTATATTGCAACAAAACTAATACGAGTTATATTGGATTAATGAAAATAAAGGATAATCTATTGTTCGCACTGTTACAAATATTATCGTTTAAATAAAACACTTAACTTTTTTTTAATTTTTTCAAACTTCATTCTATGCTAACAATAAGATTAATCGAAAGAAATGAATGAACGTTTCGCGTCGTAAAAATCGTAAGAGAAATAAAAAAAAGTGTTCTTTATTCTTCATTCGTTCGAAAAAAAAAAATCCAGTCTAATGAATTGTTGTTATCGTTAGAAAAATGAATTTTATTAATTTTCTCACACATTACCTATAACCGAATTTATTACATTATCCATTAAACCCTCTTTCCTTTTATTTCCTTCCTTCCTTCCTTCTTCGAATTTCATTTTATAGTTAAATTAATCAACGAAAAGAATTTACGTTCGCTTTGGAAAATCTTAAAGGAGGAAATTCTCTACTTCGTAGAATGTTCTTAATTCGCTCGAAACTAGTACCGTACTAGTACCTACCCCGTAGGATTATTTCGAGTCGGAGGTCGCGTGCAATCCTGCAGAAATCGTCCATCTGGCAGATTACCTTGGCTAGATTCGATCGTCCATGGAATTCGAAGCTCGCGCGTACTACTATGCTTCGGTACACACACACACACACACAAACACATACACAAATAGAATCACACAGACTGGCTGTGAATAATGTAACGAGAGATGCGTTTCCTGGCTAGGGACAACAGAAAGCCGCCGTAGCAATCCCGATGAAATTAATTGAATTACGGATCCGAGATCGAAAGGAATAGATAGAGACAGAAAACAACGTTCTCTTCGATTTTTCGCGAAAAAATCTTGTAAACAGGAATTGAACGATACTATACTTAAGTTACTCTTTTATATATACAACCTTTCCAATTGATTTTTCTTCCGTATACAGGTTTTTCTCTCCTATTCCGAGAAAACAAGATTAAACAGTTAAATAAAATAAATACTAATGGAAATGTATATATACACATATATATATATATATATATATTGTTACTTTTTTATTCTTTTTTACAAGGAAATAGGATAAAATAAATGATGCTAAAGTATACATAAATAGCGTGACTCGAAAATAAATGATGGGACAATCAAATATATCTAGTCATTCATGTTAATCATTTTTACGAAGGAAAAATGAATGTGAATATTTTCTTATATGTATAGCTGAAATCACCTTGAAAGTGATTTTATTAAATAAGCGTCTGATGTAACATGGAAAAAATAAACTCGTTAACGATCGTGGACATTTGCGTTGCAAATTCTATCTATTAGATGCGAAAATATCATAGGCCGTAATTCTCGAGGAATTCGAATGCAGTCAAAGCCTAACAATCTCCATTAACCATGACATTCTCTCTCTCTCTCTTTTTTTTTTTACTATTTTTCTTTCTAGATAAAACTAACTTACTCGATCACTCGTTTACTCAGTTTTCATGAAGTTAAAAATATAGAGAATGATAGGTAACGATCTACAATTGCGAGTACTAAAGATGATAGTTAAATCGTGACAAGGTGGCGTTAACTTATCAACATTGAACTTGCATGCTCGTTAAAACTTATCCATGTAAATATATACCTGATGCCATTTGGAAGTAGAGAAGACCAAAGTCCGATAACTTGATCCTGACTGATATCATTCTCAAGATGGAAACTCTTAATGTTATTATACTACAAAATTAGTATAGATCCATAAATGGGATTTCGTATAAACTTAAGAATAACAGTAATATATTGGTTATAATACTAATATTAACATAATTAATTCGATTTAAAATATATATAATCGTTTTTAAAAAGTAATTTATGTTGAAATTTGGAATAAAAAAAGTAAATTAGAGATTTGACAAAGTATCAATATGATTTGTCAAAGGTTCGTAAAAAGATAATTAACAAAATTTTCGTTTACAAACATATTTCATTTCCCTTTTATATCTTTTTTGTTTTCCTTTCTCTTTTTACTACTTCTTCTTCTTCTATTATTTTTTTCTTTTTTTTGTAACATTCAAATATCCAGTCAAATCAAATACGCGTCGGAACGAGAAACGCGAAGGTAGGAAATTCGGTATCAACCATTTTTGAAACGGCCGATTGCCAGTGATGGTTCGTTTGCATTTTCGCGTATTCCGTTTTGCGTTTCAAACGCACCGATCGTTACGTTTCATACGGTCGTTTTGACGATGTAACTCGTGAACCAGTCGACTATCATCTACCATTTCGAAATATGAACAAGTAACAACGTGAAAGAAATATAATCAGGTTGTCTCTAGCGTGCTTTTTACATTGCGTAATTAGTAAACTGGGACACTGGTAACATCGTTAATGAGACGTCAAGGCTTAATAAGTCGCATAACCGAACGGTAAAACGTTGATGTTGCTTGAATTTAATATTACGACTAATTACAACTTTTATATAAATATATACACTCGATTCTCTCTCTCTCTCTCTCTCTCTCTCTATCTATCTATCTCTTTTTCACTCTTTAGATTCATTTCTCTGAATTTCTTTAGAGAAACCATTTCATATTTAATAAACGCGTTGTGTTAACAAAAACGAGCTAGGCAAAAAGAAGAAAACAAAATAAAAAAAAAAACGATCAATTAACACAAATTAATGTTTTTTTTTTTTTTTTTTTCATAATAACTTTTTCCAAATTGTATCTCAATTACGATGATAATCTAAATACACGTTATATACACCTTTAATATCTACTTATATATCATGTATCCCATATACGTTAAAATTTACAACCAAAATTTTTTGATTGAACGAATATATTCTCTATAACAGATATATAATATGTATATGTATATGTATGTGTTCGTATAATACATCCAAGTTTCCAATTAAATGCTTGTCTAACTTATTGACCATCGTATGTAACATGAAATTGAATTCAAGACAATATGGTTATTCGGTCAACGTCCGATAAACGCTTGATGAAACCCGCTGGACCAATACAATCACTAATTAGCACAGATAGATTTTTAAGCAATCAAATATTAACCAACTGAAGCAATAGAATTTTTTTTATACTTTTATATCATTTCGTAATATTTCTTAGATATCGTAAAAAAAAAAAATTAATG